CTTTGATATTATTGAACTTCCTCCTCCTAGAGTGTTTTTACAACAATAAATATCTTTGTTTTGTAACTTTTGGCACTTGAAGTCTAAATTTGTCATAGGTTTTGTGAACCCAAAGCACCATAATGCATGAGCATTGTAATACTCTAGAATTACCTAGTTGCAGTTTGCAATAAAGTCCTACAGGAATGGTAGAATGTGAATTATTTTTTGCTTGCTTAAAAAGATTCCCACTCATAGAAATTCTTTCACGTGATCCCTCCGTCTCATAAGAAACTTCCCACTTTGACTTTCACGGAGTTTAAGGAAAGTGTTTTAGAGTGAAAAGGTGTGGTTAGTATTGGTTAAGAGGAGAGAAATTTTCTTAGCCACAAGTTCTTTACTTTAAAAGGAAAGGGAAGTTGTTTTTGGACGGATGAAAAAGGAATGTGAGAAGTTTTTATTTTTATAGGACGGAGGGAGCATTTGTCTACTAAGTACACATCTCCTTATCATTCAGAGCAGAATTAGGAGTAAAGGGTAGCAGCAAAGTGTTTTGTTTGATGGGACAAGACATTTTGTTTACTCAACAATTGGCTAAAGCCAAATTAAAAGTAACCATCAATGATACTTGGCAAAAGCTAACTCCAAAACATGTATATCACCTATCTAAAGCTAAAAGTGATTTTAGGTTCGTAACATGTACTATTTTTGTTAAGATACATGAGTGTCAACAATTGGATGTTCTTAAGTCACCTTCATGGCTTCTTCATCTTAAGCATCCAATTATGGCCGCTGTGTTCTTTTTTATTAAATGGGCTAATGAAGGCTATTATCTTTTCCCCAACAATTCTTTACATTTCAACATCTTTTGTTGGGGGCATGATTATTGTATTTCCTTTGTTATGATTTTTCAAATGCTTATGAAGGTAATATCTGGTTTCCTCCACGTTTTATTGACTTGCACCAGGTCTATACTGAGCAAGACACGTCTAAAATGCCACCTGAGCTTGCAAGTGCACTTTCCATTGAGCGTGAACCTGTGTCTGATCCTGAGATTCGTGTACAAACCTTGGAAGCTATTTACCTACTTGTCTTACAGGTAAATTTAACTTGGATATGTGCTTATTACTATGTTTGCTAGGTTGTTTCCTGGCATCTGCAGTAATGAATGAACTCCTCTTGCTACTGGATAAAAATGAATGGTGTATTATAGACTTCATGTTATACAAATGGTTTAATGGTCTGGATGACTTGTATGAGCTGTGGTTTAGCGAGATGGAGTTTCTCTTTCATTTTTCTTACCCAGCCTGTCTTTATGCCTAACCACTCAAAGGCGGCGGGAAGGGCAGAGATCTTTGTTGTCCCCTCCAGTCAAGAATTGGGGCCTCACAATCACTATTCACTAGTCAATATGTTTTTCTTTCATGCCCTTCTCCATTCAACAATTTCATACAAAAGGTTTGCCAGCTTCACTAAACTAGTCTGGGGCCCCTAAAAACCCCTCCACAAGAGTCTTAGAGAAGGTAAATCCAGAACTTCATGGTCCCTCAAGTTCTCTGTACACTTTTGCGCAAGAGTCCTTGCCGTAGTTATTGATCCATTTCTTTATATCATTCATTATTTGGCATTTTGGTGTCGTATCCATCCTGAACTTGGTGCTTGAACTCTATTGCTTAACAAAATTACAGGGTTCAAATTCCTTGAGAATTTATTACGCAGTACTGGTATTTTTACCCTGTATAATCTTTAACAACCTCACTGTTCGCTTTTTCATAGCTCAGAATTATACTCCAGAATATTCTATTATAGGTGGGAAAAGAGGTATGCACTGATCTATTAAAAGTGGTAGGCACTGTTTTGAAAAAGCAGTGCTAGCGCACATCTCGCGGTTCAAGTCCATGTCAAGGCATACAATCTTCTTAGGCAAATAGATGTTTCCTTGTTCCTAATAAAATCGATCTTATAATCTTACAAAAAATCATATTTACAAAAAATCTTATAATCATATTCCTAACTTATTGACTTTTTCTTTACTGTTTTGACCTATTTGTGCAACCTTGATTGCCTCAGGAGGCGGGTCGAAGTGCATTTTGGTCAGTGAATGGTCCCAGGATACTACAAGTAGGATATGCAGACGAAGAAGATCCAAACACAATGGAAGCATACGAACGAATTGGCTCCTTGGTATTCTGCAAAATCCTTTTTTTCTTATAGGGCCCATTTAGGAATGGGGAATATGACTTCGGGAAGTCATTTTCCCATTTTCCGGTGTTTGTTTTTCCGGAAAATAAGTCATCAAAAAATGAACTGAATTTGGAGGAAAATTATTTGTTTTTTCCCCGGTGGAAGACATTTTCCATCTTTCTCCTACTCTTTGCATCGAAACTCACCACGTTTTATTATGTTATAAGAACAGAAACTTTTTTTTTTCATTTTCCAAACTTTCAACCAAACACTAGAAAATGAACTTATTTTCCAGAAGTCGTTTTCGAGAACTCATTTTCCATAATTCATTTTCCATTGTTCCAAACTTCCAAACAGATTTTTTTGGCTTGCTTTTTCTAGATTTGAAAAAAGAGCATCGCATTCACTTTCGAACTCATCATTTATCATTCATATAATCTTCTGGTTTGCTAGCTCATACAAGAGAGTGGGTGTGGGGAAGAAGCATCCATGGACGATAGTAACAGTCAAGCTATGCATTGACAAAGTACAGGCAGGGAGAGCCTTACGTTTTGGACCAAATGCATATGGCAAAAGATGAAACTGAAACATGTACGTGTAGCTGTTATTTTGTACTGAGTAGCATTTTAACTTGGTTTAATATTTTATGCTTCTGATTTAATAACCATTTGTTTGTGGTAGATTTTCCAAAGATCATCACTCTACATCGTAGAACGAGATTCTCTCTTTTTCATCCGTGCCCAATTAATATGGAGTATTTGTTCCCTTTTATGAAGAATAGTGTGCTATATTTTGTTTCTGCCTCTATGAAATAGTAATTACACAATTTTTACTTTATTGAAAACAGGTCCAATCCTGAAGTCAGAAAAAAAAGAGTGATCAGATAGAAGAGGATTACCAACAACTGAGATTCTTCATTAGCTCAGTGACAAAGCTTGGTCTACGGGAAACTCACAAGCGGGGGCAAGGCCACCAAATTGCAGATGGAAAAAAAGCATAAGGTCAGTTGTGGAAAGAAAGATCTAGTTTACTCGCCCAAGAATGATCATAGTTGCAAGAAATGTTGGAATGTGTTTGGTTCGATCGCTGCTCTGAGCGGTCACATGAAGATGCATGCAAAAGATAAAAACGTGATTTGTAGGACGTGTGGCGTGTCGTTTGGAAGATGAAACTCTCATTAGGAAGTTATAACAAGAAGCCACATCTTGATGAAGATATTGAGGCTTGCTAGGATCTTGTTGATGTTAGCTACAAGTGACGTCACTACCTACAATGATAATGATGATGATGATGACCATGATATACAAATATGTCTAGTTATAGATCTCTCATTATCATCATTATCACAAGCCACATCATTCGCATTATGATACTAATCACCATCATGGTCATCGTTGGCATCATCAATCATCATTGTAGGCAGCGACGCCGCCTCTAGCTAGCACCAACAAGATCATAATAGGCCTCCATATCCCCGTCAAGATTGTGCTTCTTGTTATAACTTCTTAATGAGTTTCTTCTTTCAAACGGGCCACACGGCCTCCAAATTGGTTATGTTTGATCTTTTTGCATGCATCTTCATGTGACCGCTCAGAGTGGCGATCAAGCAGACACTACCCAACATTTCTTGCAGCTATGATTGTTCTTGGCCCCGAGTCAACAAGATCTTTCTTCCCAAACTAAGCTTATGTTTTTTCCATCGGCAATTTGGTGGCCTTGGCCTCCTAGTGAGTTCCTCATAGACCAAGTTTTGTCATTGAGCTTATAAGAGAATCTCAATTTTTGGTTTTCTTCTTCCACGTAAATCAATGCTAAAATTTATTTTTATGATTAATTATGTAAATACTTTAACTATTAAAAAATATATATTTATAAGTTTAAAAATTTTTATTTCTAAAACATCAAATAGTTAGAATGATGAATATTTAAAAATATTGAGCTCTACAAAAATTAGGGTCTTTGTGGGGATACACATGTGACATGTAGCACACATTTTGGGCTATCCTTGATTAAAAAGTATGCCTAGTTAAATTAGGCAATGTAAAGAGGTCGAAGGAAGTATTTCCTCTATCCAAATTAGATTACAAGTTTAAAGAATGTGTAGTATTTTTTAAATTTGATTTATTTACAAACTGATATAGAAAAAAAGTACTCCCTCCGTCCCATTTTAAATTGCCTGTTTGCCTTTTTTCTCCGTCCCAAAATAAATTGCCTGTTAGTTGTTTTCGTAAATTATTAAAAATAAAATACCTAAATTACCCTTAAAATAAGTCACTCTTTTTCACCTTATCTTCTCATTCATCATTACCCCTATTAAAAAGTAATGTCAATTTTGAAAAATCAACTCTATTTTTTATTTTCTTTAAATATGCCCAAAAGTCAAAACGGGCGATTTAAATTAGGACGGAGGGAGTAACTTATATATTTAAAAATTAAATCAAAAATTTTATAAAATAAATGATGACAAGAATATTTTATTTTATTAAATAATTAATAAAATTATGGAAACAAATGAAAATTATCAGGAAATTAAAATGATAATTATGTAATCTATTTTAGGATGGATGTAGTAATATACCTCATACTTTGTGTATTATAAAAGGCATCTTTTGCCCTGCCCTAAAAATTAAGCATCTTAGGGCTCATCAGATAGTTATATCAGCGACAGCAGTTTGGGCCCAGTTAAAGGCATCTTTGGGCTCTATGGATACCAAAAACTATTATTTCAAAGAAAAAACTAATAACGCATGTTAATATAACACCTTGAAGTAAAACATTTAAGATGTTGAAATACTAGTAACTAGGTAATTATAAAATGTTTTTACTATAGTGCCGGGTAAACTTGGTAAAATTTATAGTAACTTGGTGAGCAAATAACACAGAATATCCCCAAAAAAAAAACCCTTTAAGAAGCCATTTTTTAGCAGACCAGATTTACATTTTACTCCAAAGACTATTGATAACATCAACATTACAACATTCTATATAGGCTTTGGCATTCATTCTGTAATGGCGAAACAGAGCTTGGCCTCGTCCCAGGGACCGTTGATCTCAAACTTGTACTCCTGAAGCCGTATCAGCCAATAAGGGCAAACCAAATTGACAAAGACAAACACAGACAACAACAAAACAAAGAGTAACAAGTTGAACCTGTAGACGAGAGCCAGCGTCAAGACCATTAACACAAAGGAAAAGCACAGGTGCAACCTGAACGAGTACCTCTTCACGCAGAAGATGACCAAAGGGGCGAAGAGAAAAACTTGCAGGGAGAAGAGCACAACGGCAAACACATGAAGTCTTGACGGAAGGCGAGAGGCAATTAGAAGCGAAGCCACTACAGAAGCATTCAAAGATATGTTGCTTACAAGAGTTGGGTTTCTTTGAGATCCCGGAGCTTTTACTGTGGATCCCGAGTAGTTATGGGTGAAGAGGTTTATGATGAGGAGACAAGTTGTTAGTGCCCATATGGAGTCCGAGGTTATGGACAGGGTGAGTCTATGGTAGATGGGAGACAACATATACAGCCCAGTCATGAAAAACAAGATCTTGAGGACGTAACTGAGAAGAATGTTGAAGGAGAGCAGGTTTGCAGTTAAGAGAAGAATGAGGAAACCCAGCCCGAGAAGGCTAACATTCAAAACTAAGAGCGAATATTCATTCAAGGAAGATCTGAGGGTGTACGTCCAAACCAAAACCACGAGACAGACAGTGCAAATGTACTGGGAAATGGAAATTGAATCCAGAATCACCTTTAGCAAGTCCCTTTTGACAACGTTGGCATTCATAATCATATCTTCTAGGAAAGACTCATCTGTGTGGTTGTCATCAAAACCGGGTTGCATCCCTCCATAAGCAACTTTTCTCCATCGAGGTTTTCTAGGAGAAGAGTTTTCGCTCATGGTGCTCTCCATCTGTGTCATATTACTTGATCAAATCTGGAAACCACAGTTTACATGATTATCGAGACTAGCAGTGAGAATGCAACAATATTTCAATGTCATCAAAGCAAATCACTGAAGAGGCCTAATCCATAATGAGGTCACCAAATCAGGGACAAAGATTCAACCATTTATGCAAAGACATAAAAATTTGTGACAAAAGAAAGTTAAAGAAAAGAACTTAAAACCGAGGGTTTACACTTTCCGTCCAACATGTAGTTATAGTTAAAGAATATGAATGAACACATTCCTTCGGATTAGACATGCTCATTCATCTGCTGCCATTCATTTTAAAACTTCAATCCAGTTCAATTCAAATTAACTCTCAAGGGATAAATAAATCAAAATGATGCATTAAACTTCCTTTGCTTATTACGAAAACAACCTCTTTGTTTTTTGAAGGTAGACGGAATACATCTTGAGCCCCATATCCCAAAAGAGTTGAGATTATTATATTGGGTTGTTGTTGTTGTTGTTGTTGTTGTTGTTGTTGTTGTCTCAAATGATAATCCATTTCAGATATGGACACTGCTTCGATCTCTCATTTCAAATTCTTTCGATGTGATAATTTGAAAACCCAAACAAATACTCCCTCCATTATTTTTAACTGCCCATTTCAATTCAGCTTACCAAAATTTGACTAAAGTACACAAAGAAATATAAGATGAATTAAAATGTACTGTAAAATTTATACCATAATATTTGTCAGGACCAGTCCAATGCTAATCGGGGTAGTGTTTGATGGAGGAAATTTGGGCCTTATTTATTAATATAAGCGCAAACAAAATATAACTCATAACATATCAAGAGCGATGACTTCATCGAGAGATCCGTATGAGATCGCGCCAATTTTCCAAGTGCCCTTTTCTTTTTTATGCTACTCGCATCCAAATGTGCATTTTCTTGGCAACATAGTAACGTCAAATTGTCAATCACTCCTATATCCTAAGCAAATACTACTAGTGTTTGTCTATGTCCTTCACAACTAGAACACAGCCTATAAGCTAATAGTAGGCCACAATGCCACATTCAAAAGAATTGGCAGATAAAAATGAAAATTGGCTAGAAAAAATTTAACTGCAAGAAGAATAAACAACGGAAGCTCATTTTACCAACCTGGAATCATTCTCTTCAAACAGCCTCCACCTCTTTCGGGTCTCTGAAAAAGTGTCTTCCCTTCATCCTTCATCTTCAGGGACTCAAGCTTCTGATCAATCTCCTTCCAATCCTACCCTTTCTCCTTCATCAGAACCTCTTCTTTTCGCCTAGCTAACAAACAGGCAGATATCTTCTCTAAAACCTGTAAGTATTGCATTCTTAAAATTTCAATTTAAATATTTGTTTGGAAATATTACTTCTTAATAAACAACTGAGTATTTTTATTGACATTACCCCTAAGCTCAATCCAAAAATTTAGCACGAACATTAAAACCACTAAACCCTAAATTTGTTACATTAAACTTATAATTACCGCTAAAATTAACCTTAGAAGTTGAAGCAAAAACCATGATTTAAAAGCAACAAAACTGAAATCTTAAGATCAGAAGTTTGATTTTAAAAACAACCATTCAAAACTTGCAAATAAAAAACTACGAAGTATATCATAAAGAATAAACATTGGATTACCTGTTTTCAATTCTAAAATCTAAATCGCGCCTACTCACTTCATCGCATCCAGCCGGAGATTTGCAGCCTCATCGCAGTTAGAAAGTCTTCGACCGTCCGTGTTCCGTTCTTTGCCCTCACCTGGATCAGAGCTTTGGGCTTTCAATATGGATTGGGGATGGAATTTGAAGAAAGATTCTCTAAGGAAGTGTAGGAAGATATTTGAAATACTCCTTTCTTCCCGATGCCGTTTAACTACTCCTAATTTGTTTTGTTTGTATGCTTTGGGATCATTTCAAAAAATAAAAATCTTCTTTCTCAATCATTTTTTTCTTTTTATTTGTAGATTTTTTATATATTTTTTAAACAGTGCACTTTATATTTTTTATTTCTATACTAATTTAAAAGTACTGAGTTTTTTATTGTTTGTAAAGTGATTTCTATCTTGAGACGAAAGAAGTAGAGTAAATTTCATAAAACGTCCCTGGTTATAGGTCGTTTTACATATTTAGTCCCTACATATCAAATATCAATAATTTAATCCCCATTTATTGTATTGTTTTCCATAAATAGTCTTTTGACAACACTTCCGCTAAAACACATGGACAAAATTGTATATCCACAGTATTCATCTCTCTCTCTTCAATTAAGCTTAGTCCCTCTTCTCGTACTCATTACAAACTTGTCGCTGAGTTTGAAGCTCTAAACCCAAACCCGAAACGATTACTTGATGCGAGAGATTTTTCGATACGTCGTTTAATACCGAAAACTCTCGATCAAAAAGAGATGATGTGAAGTGTGAATGAAATGGAGTGTAGAATGAAATGTGGAAAAGTAAATGGAATGAGTAAAGTGGTGGAAGTAAGGTTGTCGTGTCCACGGGGATAGCGTGATTGGTTAGGAATCGAGTGCAGAGTGTAACTAAATGCTAATATCAAATTGTAAAACGTGAATCTAGGCCAAATAGAAGGAGAAGATGAATGATATGAAATGCAAGTGAAATAAACTAAACTAGAAGTAATGCGATGAATGAACTAAGAATGCAATGCACCAAACAAATGAAAGTAAACCTAGGTTAAGGATTTCATGCTAACAATGCAAATGCCAACGGAGTAGAGGAAAATGAGAAATGAACAAGGAAGCGAGCAAATCTCCCCAATTTCACTTCCGTGAGAATCGGGAAAGAATCCCCTTGAGAAGAACCCACTTCCGTGGCGCTCGTCTAAGAGAACTACAAACACATCAAACAAGCTCGTCAAGTATCCTCCACTTCCGTGGTAGGACTTGAGAGTAGAGACACACGGCTACGAGTCTAAATCCTGATTCCTAGGTGATTTAGAACTCACTCTGGAATACAAGAATGCCATCGTGGCCAACAATAACATCCAAGCATAGATATAGCATAATCCCTACAAACAACCTAGAGCAATATCTCATATTTCACGCTAAACCATCAACAACAAGCACAAATCAACAATCCATCCCTAACCTAGGCTAGAAAATCTAGCCTAGCATGCTAAATCTAAAGAAATACATAAAGATAAGAGAGGGGCAAATAAACAAAGAAGCATGAAAATATTAAAGGAATAAGGATTAATACCAAAAGACAACTAAACAAACATTAAAGAGTTAAAATCTAATGTTGGAGCTCCCAAAAATAAACATGAAATGATGAAGAAGATAAAGATGAACATAAACCCTAATCTAGAATGTAGAACAAAGGAATGGAGGAGCTCTCTTAACAAAATGGAGTTAGAGGAGTATATATAGAGTAGGAGAAATTGGGAATAAAATGACTAATAAGGACACAATTGAAACTTAAGTAAAGAAAAGAACCAGGGGTAATTTGGGATTTTCACGCCCAAGTTGGATCTGAAATCGGAGCTCTGTCTCTGCTCTTTGTTCGTCGACTGGCTGAGGGCTTCACCAGAAATTAGGGTCGTCGGGAGGAGGGAGGAGCGTCTCGTCAGCCCTGGAGGCTCTCTGTTCGTCGCGGTGTTGCCGCTGGTAGCTCGCAAATAGCAAGGCAAGCACGTCGCCGGCTGGAAGTCCTTGTTGGAACCGCCGGTGTTGGATGCGTTGATGGCAGACCGACGCGGGTCGGGTCGCACCAGCTCTGGGTCGCCAATGTCGCGTCTGCTCCTGCTCTCTTCCGTCAATTTTTAGAAAAGTTAAATAAAAACATAACTATTTCCCAGACCATATGTTTTTATTTCCCAATGTAGGACTTTTAGTTATTAACAAGTAGTCATTATTCAAGAAAATGTCTAGCATTACTGGACATTATTCCTCCCACGAGGTCATTAACAAGTCCTATTTAGGGAATAAAAAAGTTTAAGTCCTACATTAAGAAAGTCATTATGTTTTAGTCCTATTTAGTGCAAATTTCACTTAAATAATTTTTTATTATTGTAAATTGACCCCATGTTTATAATCTTGCTTGCAAATCAGCCCTTTTGTTTGTAATTGGACCCTAAAATAAATCAATCATCATAAATTAGTCCAAATTTACAAGTCCGATGAAATATGTACCATTAGGTTCTTACAAATAATAAAATCTAAATTAATAAGTCTATCAAAAGATAATAAAATATGCACAAATTACAGACTTATCATCACTCCCCTCTCAATTGTTCATATTCCTGGTGGAACCCAAAATCAAAACCAATAACCTTCATTGATGAGTTTTATGGGTTAATCTCGGGAAATTGCAAAGAAAACAAACTTTAACACTAATCCATGAAGGTTACTAGTTTCGATTTTAGATTCCATCAGGAAGACAAACAATTAGAGAGGAGTGATGATTTCGATTTTGGGTTCAAAGCTTCAAACTCAGCGACAGGTTTGGAAAAGGATTGCGAGAGGAGGGAAAAAGCTTAATAGATGAGAGAGAGGGGTGTGAATCTACAATTTTATTCACATTTTAAATGAAAATGTTAACAAAGGACCATTCGTGAAAAACAATGTAATAATTGGGGACTAAATTACTGATATTTGATATATAGGTCAAAATATGTAAAACAAACTATAACTGAGGACCTTTTATGAAATTTACTCAAAGAAATAATAGTTTAATTAATACGAGTACCAGGTGGGGTGGCCAATAGTTTCTTGATTTCTATCTTGAGACGTGCGTCACAGACTCACAGTTTTGGGTTTTACTATTTCTATGCAACGCTAGGCCACTCCCGACGCGCCAACTCTTTTCCAAACTTAGTAACTGCCCCAAAGCATTTCATATTTTCATTTAAACACATAGTATTCCTTCCGTTACTTATGCATTTTCTTTCATTTTGATATTTCACAGTCATCATCAATATAGCACATTGACCATTAATATATTTATTTGTGTACATATAATTATTATAAAAAATAAGATATTTCATATTTATGTTTCGAAACAGATCTAATGAAGTTAAATTTAATTTTCTCATAATTCAATGTTTCTTTATAAATTATGATCAATGATTAAAAAATTGAACATAAATGTCAAAAGTAAAATAAGAAATAGAAGGGAGTACTATGTAGTTCTTGCCCCCTCCACCCTCCCCCCCCCCAAAAAAAGAAATTTGTCCTGTGTGCCCCTTAATGCTCGTCGATTGACAACCATATATTAAGGTAGTCAATTCACGAACTGTATGAGCGCTATATTTACTTTTAAACAGCACCATAAGGATCTTAAAATAAAATAATACTCTCTTCGTCAATAAGTACATTATCGTCATCCTTACTATTTGAGATTTTCAATAATTTTTATTTTTTATGCGTTTTCGTTGATCATTTAATAAAATAAAATAGATACGTCATATCTTTAAAAAATAGATATATCACTACTTGTTTTAATTTGCACTCCCTCCATTTTAGAAAACATTTTCACTATCATTTTTCACTCTTCTCATAAAATGCTTTCACTTTCAAATTGAAAAGTCTATTTTACATTGTCTAAAAAAGTCTATTTTTCAAATACTAACTCTTACTCAACCTATCACATCATATCTTTTCATTATTAATTTATCCGCCATATTCTACTTAATTAACTTTTATACATGAAATCAAAGACAAAATTAAAAAGTTAACTATAAATTATAGTAAAATTTGTTGCATCTAGGACTTAAAGTTGTTAGTTTTCCCTTAGTAGGACTAGTTAAGTTGTTTTCTATTAATAGGACTTTTTCTATACGGTATTCCATCTTTACCCTTGTATATTTATTCCTCTTATTTTTTCATCTAGCCGTTCCTCTAATTACTCCATGTGATCCATATGATTTCAGTTACATAATTTAAAAATAACTACTCATTTATCACCCTATAAATCAAGCAATAATTGCATTATCAATACTCATTCTCTACACTTCTTTCCTTTGCGATTGCTCTCCTTGTCTTCATTAATTTTGCTCTCTTCTCAACATTTCCCATCATCATGCTCACTTCCCCTCCTACAATATGTTTGACATTATCTGACCTAGTATCGTCATACAAAAAAAATTAAAATATTGTCCAAGGACATTAATTATTAGATACATATTTTTATTAATTATTTGGTAAAATAAAATAATTGTATTATTTCTTGTTTTGTAGATCTTTTGAAATAATTTTTGAATGTGTAAATTTACTTTTTATTTTTACAATAATATTCATTTAAATTGAATTGAAAATA